ACCTCCATGCCTTGGCTAATTTTTTTTTTTTTTTTTTTTTGGAGACCAGAGTTTTCTCACTGTTGTCACCCAGGCTTAGGAAATACAGTAGGCACGATCTGGTGCTCACTGCAACTTACTCTTCAGGTTCAAGCGATTCTCCCTCCTCCAGCCTTGCTCAGTAGGGGCTGGATTACAGGTGCCTTGGCCACCATGGGCGGCTAATTTTTGTATTTAGTAGGAGATGGGTTTACCCATGGTTGATTCAGGCTGGTCTTGAGACTTGACCTCAGGTGATCCACCCGCCTTCGCTTCCCCAAAGGTGCTGGGATTACAGGCAGTTAGCCCTGTGGCCTGGTCTGGTCTAATTTTTATATTTTCGGGTAGAGACGAGATTTCACCTGTTTGCCAGGCTTGATCTCAAACGGCCGTGACGTCAAATGATTTCGCCCGCTTGGGCCTTCCAAAGAGCGGATTACAGGCATAAGTCACTGTGGGCCAAAGCGGGTGGATCACCTGAGGTCAGGAGTTTGAGACCAGCCTGACCAACATGGAGAAACCCCATCTTTACTAAAAATACAAAATTAGCTGGGTGTGGTGACACATGCCTGTGATCCCAGCTACCAGGGAGGCTGAGGCAGGAGAATCGCTTGAATCTGGGAGGAGGAGGTTGCGGTGAGCCGAGATTGCGCCATTGCACTTCAGCCTGGGCAACAAGAGCGAAACTCCGCTCAGACATTTTGCTCATGATATGTGGAATTTTTTGTGTGTGCGCCAAAATATCATATTGAAGGATTTTTTGACAAACCACCAAACCTATGAAATGAGCTTTTGTTTTGCAGTATCAGGCATTTGTTTGAAGTGTAATGTTTGGACAGGCCTGAAATCTACAGCACCAGGATTTTTCCTACACAAACCATCTTTGGTATCTTTGTTTTCTGGGTGTTAAATCAGAATAGTAACTTGATAGTCCGTTTAGTATGCCTCCTAAAATTCACACAGATGGTTTTTGTACCTGCCTCCCCCCAACCCGCCAACGAAAGCCCTAAGCTGAACAGTAGGTACATTATCACTAGCAAGTTATGTGACCTTAAGCAAATTACTTCTACGATCTCGGGTTCAATTTCCTCATTTTAAACAGGTGAGTTCACTTCCTGTTCTGTGTGGCTGCTCAGTGCCATTCCCACTTCCTCCTGTGTTCTCCCCGGTATCACAGGAGCTGGCATCTGGGACATGACGGTTCCTGTACCTGCTCATCTTCAGGGCTCCAGTGCAGGTTCTGCCAATAAATGGTGTATCTGCAAGATTGAGAGAGTGAGAGGAGTAGAGAGGATTATTGCTTCTGGCAGCAGCAGGCAGGTGAGCAGACTTCAGGCTTCGGAAAGGTTTCAGCCACATGTTCCTGGTGTCTTCTTGCAAGGTGTTCACCTCAGTGCTGCAGGGAGCTGAATTCATTGGTAGTTCCTAAACAGCTTGATTTTCTTAACACTAGCAGCAGTCTTCTGCCCTTCCAACAGTTTGTTTGTTTGTTTGTTTTTTTATGTAAAAGTTAGGCCTGGTGCGGTGGCTCATGCCTGTAATCCCAGCACTTTGGGAGGCCGAGGTGAGAGGATCACCTGAGGTCAGGAGTTCGAGACCAGCCTGGCCAACATGGTGAAACCCCATCTCTACAAAAGTACAAAAAAATTAGCCAGGCATGATGATGGTTGCCTGTAATCCCAGCTAATCTGGAGGCTGAGGCAGAAGAATCACTCCAGCCTGGGCAAGACAGTGAGACTCCATCTCAAGGAAAAAAAAAGAAGGCCGGGTTCAGTGGCTCATGCCTGTAATCCCAGCACTTTGGGAGGCTGAGGCGGGCAGATCACTTGAGGCCAGGAGTTTGAGACCAGCTCCCCTGTCTCTACTAAAAATACAAAACTTAGCCAGGCATGGTGGTGCATGTCTGTAATCCCAGCTACTCAGGAGGCTGAGGCAGGAGACTTACTTGAACCCAGGAGGCGGAAGTTGCAATGAGCCGAGATCGCGCCACTGCACTCCAGCCTGGTGACAGCAAGACTCCATGTAAAAAAAAAAAAAAGTTGGTTTTAGTTTTTATTTTAAAAATAACTACAGATTCCTCATTTACACAGAAAGACTACGAACTTTTTTTTAAAGTAACAGCTTTATTGAAATATAATATTGAAAAGCCACTTAAAGTTTACAATTCAATGGGTTTTAAAAAATATATTCAAGGTGTTGTGCAGTCATCACAATGAATTTTAGAACATTTTTATCACCCTTAAAAGAAACTGCAAACGCATAAGTAGCAGTCTCTCCCCATTCCACCCCAACTCTGCCTATCCTCTGCTCTCCCTACCTAGCCCTAGGCAACCACAATCCACTTTCTGTCTCTATGGATTTGTCTGTTCCCAACGTTTCACATAAATGGAAACATGATATGTGGCCTTTTGTGTGAGGGTTCTTTCACTTAGCATAAGGTGTTTAAGATTCCTCCACATTGTAGCTTGTTAGAAGTACTTTGTTTCTCTGTATTACCCAATAAAGTCTCACTGTATCACATTTTATGTATCTATTCACCATTGAAGGGATATCTGGAGGGTGTCCACATTTGGGCTATTAGAATAATGCTGCTGTGAATATTTGTTGCTTTGTTTTGTTTGTTTTTGTTTTGAGATGGAGTCTCGCTCTGTGGCCCAGGCTGGAGTGCAGTGGCACGATCTCGGCTCACTGCAACCTTTGTCTCCTGGGTTTAAGTGGTTTTCATGCCTCAACCTCCCAAGTAGCTGGGACTACAGGCGCCCCTCACCAAGCTCAGCTAATTTTTGTATTTTTAGTAGAGATGGGGTTTCACCGTGTTGCCCAGGCTGGTCTCAAACTCCTGACCTCAGGTGATCCACCCGACTTGGCCTCCCAAAATGCTGGGATTAAAGGTGTGAGCCACCGCACCCAGCAAATGCTGCTATGAATATTCACATACAAGTTTTTGTATAGATGTATGTTTTTATTTCTCTTGGATATTCACCTAGAAGTGGAATTGCTGTGTCATATGGTAACTCTGTTTAACCTTTTGAGGTGCCTCCGGGCTGTTTTCTAAAGTCGCTGCACCATTTTACAGTTCTACTAGCAGTGTATGAAGATTCTATTTCTCTGTGTTCTCACCAATACTTGTTATTGTCTGTCTTCTAAATTATCCTAGTGGGTGTGAAGTGGTATCTCGCTGAGGTTTTGATTTGCATTTTCCTGATGGTTAAACATGTCAAGCACTTTTCATGTGCTTATTGGTCATTTGTGTGTGTGTGTATCTATCTATATATATTTGTTGTTGTTGTTGTTGTTGTTGTTGTTAAGACAGGGTCTGTTGCCCAGGCTGGAGTGCAGTGGCATGATCTTGGCTCACTGCAGACTCGACCTCCTGGGCTCAAGCAATCCTCCCACCTCAGCCTCCCAAGTAGCTGGGACTACAGATACATGCCACCACGCACAGTTAATTTTGTTCATTTTTTGTAGAGATGAGATCTCACTATGTTGCCCAGAGTTGGTCTCAAACTCCTGGGTTCAAGCACTCCTCCCACCTCGGCCTCCCAAAGTGCTGGGATTACAGGCATGAGCCACTGCGCCTGGGCAGCCATTTGCAGATCTTATTTGGAGAGTTATCCATTCAAATCCTCTGCATTTAGCTGGGCTAACTTTTTTTTATTGAGTTGTAGATTTTTTTTTTAAATCACATATATGACTTGCAAACATGTTTTTCCATTTTGTGGGTTGTCTTTTCACTTTCTTGATGGTTTCATTTGAAAAATGAAAGTTTTAACTTTTAGGTGGGCACGGTGGCTCATGCCACCGTGCCAATCCTAGCACTTTGGGAGGCTGAGGCAGGTGGATTGCCTGAACTCAGGAGTTCAAGACCACTCTGGGCAACATGGTGAAACACCAACTCTACTAAAATACAAAAAATTAGCTGGGCGTGGTGATGTGCGCCTGTAGTCCCAGCTACTCAGGAGGTTGAGGTATGAGAATCACTTCAACCTGAGAGGCGGAGGTTGCAGTGAGCCGAGATTGCCATACCGCACTCCAGCCTGGGTGACAGAGCAACACTCTGTCTCAAAAA